GATTCCCAACTTATGAACCCAGATGACATGAGGGATGATAATGTGGTAAGAAAGTCTAGGAGGAATAGAAGATTTGGGAGAGGAGGAGGAAGTTGTTTCCATCAGTTTAAGCTGCTGGTGAGTCCATTCCTCAATGGGAAACTGGATTCAGCAAGATCAGGAACAGAAACACAGTCATGAGCCCATCTACAAAGCTGTAGGTTAAACACAGAGCTTTGTGGTATTTTTAGGAAGAAAAGATGTGACAGGAAAAAAGAGAAAGATACCAGAAATTAGTGATGTAGGCAAAGGACGAAGATAAAAAACAGTGTCACAGGTGTAAAAGAGGATTTTGAAGTGTGTCGGATACATCGTTCCAAAACAAGTGAAGCACCAAGGAGGATACATCGAGGTTGCAGGTGTGCTTTAAAAGATTATTTAAGGCATTGATGAGATCTGTTTGGAAAGATCCATAAATTTCAGAAAAGCATTTTCTCTCCCTAGTCCATATGTGGATAGTAAGCACATGTGGTCCAAAAGGTTTGATTAATTTAGGCGATGCTTTCTCTGCTTGATGAAACTCACATACATGAATATATCTATCTTGTAACTCCAGTGATGCATCAATGACTATGTTCTCCCAAAACTTTCTAGTGAACTCATATGCAAAAGATGTCTATTAGAATTTCTGGAGATGATACTATCACGATACACAGTTATATTTTGAAGATTGCTCCCGTAGCGCTAGATAAAAATAATTGCACAGACTGTTTTCAAAATAAATACTGAAACAATTAAACTAAGCACACAGTCATTCTTCCTGAATTAATTGGGTTGTTCATAAGAAATTATTCTAGTGCATTCCTTTTTCTAACCTACACTTTCTGTAGAACATACATGACTCTTACACCTCTCAACGTGAGCAGAAGCCCAAGAAGATAACTGTATTTTCCTTCTAGCTGCAGAAACATACTGCATAACTATTAAAGCCAAGTACTGTCAAGGATACTTGCTTTTGAGCACCATAATTCAGATGCTAGGAGGATTCTTCTGTGTGAGTTATATGACTACCTCTTCTTTGCCACATGTATCCCCCCTAAATTCAGAACTTCAGATGAAGAGTTCTGTTCTCACTGGGCAGTCCCAGAAAAATGTTGTCATGACTGCTATACCGTTGCCACAAGCTTTTGTTACAGAAGGTTATAGATATGAAAACTGTCAAGCCAACACAGGCAGTTTATAACTTTTGAAATCTGGACCATATCCAGAGTGTAAGTGGTATATATGGATTTATTCTGGAGAATGTAAGACAATATCTTATATGTGGCGTGTACAGAATAATGAGAATTACAAGGGGCAAACATGAGAATCTGGATATTTATTTCATTTTGAAAATAAATATAAACATTTGGTTAAAGACATTTCAGAAACTACTCAGAATACATTTGCAATAGTAGGCAAAACAAAAAATGAAAACTTTAAATACGTTGAAAAAACACTTAACAGCAAGGTAAAAAAGAACATACACCCCCAAAAGTCAGTTCTACACTCAATGACCCGGTACCACACTGCCAGTTACTTGCTGCTAAACATAGGAAAATAAGTCTTCAAATTCCCTCAGAGGCCATCACCATAAGCCCAGAAGAATAAGTGTTAATTACTCATCCTAGAAGTATTAATTATTATTAGTAAATGTAATTTTCATGAAGTCTCAAGAACTACAGCTTTGGGAAAATGAGTTCTCCTTTTATATATGTGTATATACACACACATATATATAGATATATATACATAGCCAGTATAGACAGCACAGCCTGCTTTAGCTCTGCTGTATTGCTAAAAGTATCCAGTTTTTAAATTCACTATAGAACTGCTTCAGTGATTGTGCATAATAATGAATTCTTCTGTTTGTTTATATGCTGCATAGCCTAGTCATTTCTTTTGCTGAAGCTTTATGTAAGCTTCTGCTCTTTGATTAAAGAAAGGAAGGGAGGAAAAAAAGAACTGAGGGAAAATAAGGAAGGATGGAAATTCTCGGGCACTACTTTGTAAAATTTTACACATTGGGAAAAATTGAATTCATTGATGCAATAGCCACCCCAACTTCTTTGTACAGTGTGAATAAAAACCAAGCGACCAACCAAACAATCAACCCTAAATTCAGACACTGCCAGAACTGTGACAGTCAATTTCATTTATTGTTTGCAAATACAGGTGCCTGCCCTGGCTCTTGGCTGTGGAATTTAAAAATCAGGCATGAGTAGAAAGACGACCTGTAAACATGTCTACTCAAACCAAATCCTCCAATAGTTTTAACAAAGAGGAAAAAAAAAAAAAATATGGACTTTGCTGCATTCAGCAAAGGTAAGCAAATCCAGGTTCTGGTGGATGACGGTGGATAGAGCTTTCCAAAACTGGGGATCCCTCACAGAGAACTAATGTCGTGCCAGTTGCTTCCTCATACTTCATTTGCAGAGCTCAAATGCGTGAATCTCTGTGGAGTCTGACCTGGCGTTACATCACAGAGAGAAAAGTAACCAGACACAGTTGCACACAACTGTGCTCAAACATGATGAAGTTCTTGTAAACCGAACAGTTCGAGGAAAAAGGTTTATCTCTGCAGGATAACTTATTTTAATTTGTTATCTTATGCAAGTCCAGTAGTGCTGCTATCTTTTTAATATCTTCCATAAGGTTTTATTTAAAGTCCAGACATGCTCTACAGAGAGTGTAAAATGTATGGATCTAAAATCGCATTTTAAAACAAGGTTTTAGCAACAGAGTCCTTCTGGATGTGAATTTGACTCATGGTTTCTCAAAACCTGGGCAACAGCCAGCCTAAGATACGTGGGATAAGCTGTCAGTCAGCAGCAGAGCAGCCTGTTTGGGAACCCCGCGCCCAGCCCTGTGCGGGCTCCTGCTTCACGCTCCCAGGCACCTACCAGCAGGGTACGGAGCAACAGAGCCAGCATCCCACGCTGGCCACTTGCTCTCCCACCAGTTCTCTTGGGGAATAAGCGAGTGCCACGCAACACAGCATCCTGTTTTGCCAGATTGTTAGGGGGGTTAGGGTGGTCTTTTTTTGAAAATTCTTCTTCTTCCTTGAGGTCATTTGAATATGTATCTGTGTGACGGCATGGTGGGAAAGGCAATCAGCACGTATTAGCAGGTCCTGTCGTGTTTACCTCAGCCCAATATTGCTTTCTGTCTAATACAATATAATGTCAAACTTCTTTAATATGTCTGAGAGAATATATACAGAATACGGCAAAGACTTGTTGCAAAGCATACACATGCCAAGGAGCCATGTGGCAGGGGCTGGGGGGGTGTTGTCCCCAGGGGCTGCCAGGCAGGACCTCACCAGCCAGGGCTGGTCCCACCGGCCCAGCCAGCAGCAGGACAGGACGGGGGGCACCGGGGGCCGTCACCTCTGCCCACTGTTCAGTCGGGACCAGCAGGACCCGTGGCCTGGCACAGGCCACTGAACCAGCCCCAGTCCACAGCCTGGGAGGGCACGGGCAGTTCTGTAACTCCTCTCTGCCTAACGCTTCCCCGCAGCCGAGCCCGATTAGCATCACTGTCCTGAATTCCCCAGCACCGTTTTTCCCCTGCTGTGTTTTAGCACACGCATTTCTGAACTAACAGCTGAGCAATACTGCTTGCTCTCGCAATGACATTGTCTTTCTAGGTTTTCTCCTTTAAGCTCCAGCTTCTTGAATGGCAGGGTTGTAGGAAATTCTAATGTTTATTCATTCAGTAGAAGTTTTACACTTTGAATTTCCAAAGTAAGTTTTGGGAGCATACCTCTAGAGGCTCAAATAAGAAAAGCTAAATAAACGTATTGTTTAAAATAAATGATCCCGCCATATGATTTTCCTTCAGGGGTAACCACAGTCTGACATTGCACAAATTCATTCACACTGACTTTCAGGTCAGGTTGGGGCTAAAAGAAATACAGCCTTTTCAAGCTGAAGAGCCCCCAGGCCAGCAGATGTTGCCAGTTGCCGCACAGAGAGCTTGGGGTGCCTCCGTTTCCAGCCTTCAGCAGGGTTGGGCAGGCTCCCCGTGCGGCTTTCCGGGGGGGCTCAGCCTCGTCCCCGGTGCCACGCAGGGCCCTGCAGAGCTGGGCTGGCCCCATCCAGCGCCCTCGACACCCCGTGCTCTGGGACTGCTGGGGTGCTGCTGAGCTCCAGCACGGAGCCCAAGGCAGGGAGCCGCGCCGGGGCCCGCCGTAACGAGCTCACGGGGCTCGGGGTGACAGCACGCAGGCACCCCTGGTAGCCCCCACTGTCATCTCCCCACGTTCAGGCCTCGTCCATCTCTTACTCTAGCTAGCCCAGCCCCACGCCCGCTCAAGCCGAGCAGCTGACGAGCTTCTGATTAATGCTCCAGACAAGGTTTGGGATGGAAACTGCCCGGTCCCCGTCACGTTACTCAGTTGCTGCAGGATCAGCTCCGTGACACCCGCCCTGTGTGACGATGTAACTGACGATGTCAAGCTGTGCGGACACCGTCTTCAAGCAGAGGCACTGCCATACCGGCAGCCTCTCAGAGCAGAGCGCGCAGAGGTTCCCCTAATCCCCTTAATTGCGAGTCCCCAAAACAACGGGATACCGTTCCGGACCTGTGTGGATCCACCCGTTTTTTTAAAACTATTTCTCCGAACGCCACCGCATCTCCCGCCTTCAGCGCGCAGCAATTACGGCGGCGCTGCCCCTGCTCGCTCCGATTTCGCCCTCGCTGGGGACGCTCCCAGTTCCGTTCCGACGGAGGTGCTGTGGAAATTAAACCGGCGCAGGCGACTTCAGGGCGGGGAGGGGGGGGGGAGCCCGGCCTCGGTACCGGCCCCCGGCGGAGGGTCCGACCCGGGGGGCGGGGGTGGGCGGGCAGGCACGCGGTGTTTACGGTTGAATGAGGGGCGGGGCCGAGGGGCGCCGCGTCAGAGAGGGGCGGGGGGAGGCGGGCGCGCCCCGGCGGGGCGGCCGCCGCGGGCGGGGGGCGGTGACGCGCGGGGCGGGGCGGGGCGCGGCCGGGCGCGCTGCCCCGCGGTACCAGGGGCGGCTGCCCGCCTCTGCCGCGGTATGGGGGTCGGGCTGCGGCCGGGACCCCGCGGGCGGCGCTGAGCGGAGCGGGACTCGCCGCTGCTGTTGCCGCTTCTTCCCCCCCCCCCCCCCCGCGGCTCCGCAGGGAGGAGGCCGGGCGGCGGCCGGCGCGGGGCTCGGGACCCGGAAGCAGAAGCGGCAGCGGGGCCGGGAGGCGGCTGGATGGGAAGGAGCGGCGGCGGCGGCGGGCGGCGATGGGGGAGCAGCAGAGCTCGCTGAGCGCCCCGCGGGCGGCTGCTGCTGCCTCCGCCGCCGCCTCGCCGCCGAGCCCGCCCGGGGGACCGAGGGATCCCGGCCCGGACGAGCCGCCTCCGCCGCGAGAGGCGGCCCCGGGCGGCAGGGCGGCCGGGCCGGGGCGGAGCGGGGAGCCGCCGCCGGCCGCCGCCAGCCCCGAGCGGCGAAGGGCCGAGGAGGAGGAGGAGGAGGAAGAGCAGGAGGCAGCGGCCGGGCCGGAGGAGCCGGCGGCCCTGGCGGAGGAGGGGCCGGGACCGGAGGGGGGCAGCGGCCGCCGCCGCCCCCCCCGGCGGCACGTGTACTGCACCGTCTACTGCGTAGAGAACGACCGGCCGGCGGCGGCCCCCGCCCCCCCCCGCGGCGGCGGCCCGGGCGGGGGGCAGCCCCCGGCGCGGCGCGGGCCGGCGGCGGGCGGCGACCCGCTGTCTGCGGGCGGCAGCATCGAGGTGGTGGACTTGTACCTGCTGCCGGAGCCCTTCTCCGGGCTGATCGCGGGGGAGTTCGGGCCGCTGCTGGTGCTGAGCTGCCGCGTCTGCCTGGAGGAGAAGCCCATCAAGCCGCTGTCCTGCTGCAAGAAGGCGGTGTGCGAGGAGTGCCTCAAGCGGTACCTCAGCTCCCAGGTACGGGGGCCCGGCGGGCGCCGCCGGCTTGTGCCGAGGCGGAGGGAGGCGGGGAACGGGGCCGTTAAACGGTGGAACCCCCGCGGGTGTGGGGCGGCGTGGGAACCTCGCCCGCCCCGTCCGGGACGCGTTTGGCAGCCGCCGTGCGTGCGAGCGGCTCGGTTATTGACCCAAGTTGGTTCCCGAAGCGTTTCTCTGCGCGTCGATGAGCGCAGCCTTGTCGGGTTTGGGCGCTTGGGTGTTTCCCGGGCTCGTCCCACCTTTGGAAGGATGCTCTCCGTGAATTCTCAAACTGGGGCTGGCACCAGTTTCCATTTAAAGAGGAGTGTAAAGGAGGAGGGGGAGCAGTCTGGGAGCGTTTACAGCCGCCTCCGAGGCGAGTCCCGGGGCTGGGGGCTTTCGCCGCCGTCTCGCAGCCCCTCGCCCCACCGGGCGCCTGCGGGGCCTCGGCGCGGCCGGCGCCTTCGGTGCTACACCAGGTACGCAAGGTTAAAATAAGGGGGGTTGAGGGGTGTTTCTCTGTGACTCTTCATGAAGTTGCAACGGTAAACAAGAACTTTTCTTGGGGGGGGGGAAACCAACCCACCCAAAACACAATAGCTTTTCCGTTCCGGGTAGATGGCTGCTCCCGTATATGCTGCTTATATCTTCATCACTGTTTGGTCAGTCAAAACTGCCGTTTCAAACCGAAATCAGCAGCTTGAAAGCAAAGCTCTGTCTTCGCTAGTGTTTTTAGTCGCTAGTTTAGCATCACAAAACACTTGTGCATTGTTTCTGCCCCTAGCATAGGCATGCCCAAACCCAAAGAGCAATGGGAGAAGCGTGGGTATGTGGGAAAACCAAAACCAAACAAACCCTTTGCTTACCACCTTTATGTTTTTATTCATCAGAAACTTCTGGGATATACTTAGTGGAGACGTGCTGGTAGAATGATTTTTTTTTTTTTTAACACCTGTTGGGGCCGGGAGCAGTGCTGGGGCAGTCTGTGCTCCCACTGGGCTGCCTGCGTAGGGATGGGATGGATGGCTACAGCTACCCCTGCGCGCTATAAATAGCTGTCAGGCTGTTCTGACCAGGGAGCATTTCAGTGCTTGGAAATTGCACGTGCTGGCTGAAGTGAAGCATGTGCTCCTCTATGGGTATTGGTAGCCTACGTAGCACTTACTAGTGCTAGTAGCTTTTGTTCTGGCTAATAGCAAACTCACTAGTGTTTTTATAGACCACCTTCATTATGTTTAGATAACAGGGAAGGGCTTAACATGGAAGACAATGAATGGGAGAAGCAGAGTTGTGTTTTGTATGTCTCCTGTAGCACTGAAACTCAGGAACACTTACTAAGTCTTCTCAAGACTTTGTGGAGCCCAGAATGGTTTGGTTTGCAGTTAAGTGGTGGACTGTAAACTCTCAGCAAGTTTTTAGAGTATATTGCCAATGTGCATTTGTGCCACCTTTGTATTTGCCACTGAGGTCACGTGTCAGAATGTTGTCTTGGTTTGAAGCTGGAAATTGCAAAGTGGTGCCAAGGGTGGTCTTCTGTAGCTTCTGCAAATGCCTGCAGCCTGCTTTACAAGTTGACGTGATGAATTGTGATAGTTCTTGCCCATTAAAACAGGTAGTAAAATATTTAAAGGAATGGCCAGGCAGGATCATCAATCATGACCTCATATGATAAAATTCAGGTGTCTGCACTGTAGGCATAAACACTCAATTCAGTTATCTGAGCCCCTTTTTAAAAAAAAATCGGTAATGAAAGAGGTGGATTTAGAATACAGTTTGTCTAAAAGAGTTGAAATGCCACCAGATTGTGCCTGTTTTGTTCTATTTGATTCCTCTGAGTAGGAAGGGGTGTAGGATCTCGCAAGGTTTGAGGAAAAAGTTGTATCGAAGCACGAATCTGCCCAAACCCAGAATGGGTTGTGAGCTAAAGTGATACAGAGGGTAGCTTACAGTGGTCTGGGGAAGTTATGTGATGCTGTAGCTAAAGCCATACTGAAGAACTCTTCTGCCTGGTTTAGGCTGGACTCTTGGAGGATGATCCAGCAGCTTGGTGGCTTGGAACCAGGTATATGCCCCGTGAAATGGGTTTAGCATTGGCCGGCTGTTGGATGTGTATGCAGGGATGCCCTCTTCGAGAAAGCCACCACTATTGCTGAGCACTCTGCAAAACTTATCCCAGCAGCTATTAAAAGGTCTGCTTGGCAGATAGCCATAGGGGTACTTACTCCTGTGTGTAGAAGATGGGGCAGGGATACAGATGCAGAAGATGTCTGCAGCAGGGATACTGATCTTAAGGAGGAAGATTCACGGAGCAGTTCTGTGGGCACATTGTTACAGATGGTGTTATGACCAGGCAGAATTTTAGTTGCTTAATAAATTTGTTTAGAGAAAAAGGAAACAAAATACCCTCAAACAGTCCAATGTGGTCTTCGCCTATCTTCCTTTTTTGAAAAGAACAGGAAAGTGATATTTCATTGAAAAGAACAAGAAGTGATGTATCTTTCCTTTGTGCTGTGGAAGGACCCTGTGACTCATCCTGAGGAGAGAGAAAATGCTTCTCCATGTCAGTTACGTTAGAGGAGTTTCTGGGAAGGGTGAGTAGAAAGGCAGTGTAGGATAGAAATAAAGTCGCCTTTCATCTTTGAGACTTAGCACTTTGTGTAGCAAAGAAAAAAAGAAAATTTACCAAAACTTCAAAATAAGTAGGTGTTGAGAAGCTGTTTGAAAATTTTAACAGATTTTCAGTTTGGATGCGATCAGCTTGATCTAAGAAGGTACCTGAAGTTGAAAACAAATAAAAGCAACTGAAAAACAAAACCCCAAGCAGCAATATGCATTGTTTAGAACTGGTTTCCTTGTCAGAGAAGTAGCAGTCTGTGCCCTTTGTTTGAGAGGACGCCAGCTAAGTCTCTGGAGGAGCAGTGGTCTTTCATGCTGAAAATGTGGAGTATGTTGGCAGAAGTATAATGCTTAAAATAATTCATGTTGCCTTTACTGTCTGTTTTCCCACTGAAGAAAGCCAGATTCTTGATGATGGTTTCATCGTGATTTCTGAAATGATGGTTAATGGAGTAGCAAAGTAAAAACCCTGTTAATGCACTCTGCCCTCTTCTATGCAAGTATGTAACAGCCTCAAAACTTCTGCCTTGGAACCCTTTATAGATCAGAAAATGAACTGAAGTTTTAGACATTGTTGAAAAGATTATCCAGATGAAAATACTTGAATTGCAGCATTCACTTGTACAGTCTTTCCAGAATGCTGGAAAATGAGGGTAATTGATTTAGGAATGTCATATCTGAAGGTCCTTAGAGGTCAAATTCAGTCTTTCTTATCACCAGCACCTTGCTGCATAATCCCTTTCAAAGATTTAATGGCTGGAGCAGAAGCTTAGCAGGCGAGCCTGGAGTGCCCAGCCTGATCTGAAGCCTGACTTTTGGTAAATTGCGTAAATTTGCCTCTGCTTCAATTTAGCTATTCTTTCTCCTGGCCTAATACTCTCAGACCCCTCAGGGTTTTTCAGGGTCTGACTACAACCAGTTTATCTACCATTCACCAAAAAATTTTTATTGCTTTGTTTTCTTGGACCCAGAGAAATTGAGGGAGGGGTAAGCATGGATGATGAGTTAGCATGGAAGAGGTGGTGGCTTTTGCACCTCAGGACCTGGTGTGGGTCCCACAGAGCCTGGGTCAGGTCCCAACAAGTCCCATCTTCAGGAACTGATGCAGCCCAAAGCTGTTCTCTGTTGCTATAAACAAATGAGGGTGAAGACTGTGAATGTTTGAAAGGTCAGTGCTCTTCCAGGACTGTGATACTCGTGGAGGCTATCTCCATGGCCTCTCAGATATGTACTGAGTGAGGTCAGGGTCAGAAGGGTGGAAGAACTGTTTCCCCTTTGGCTGAGACCTGTGGGCTTCTACACTCGTGCATCCAGCACACAGACTGGGGACGGGGTGGGAAGAACCAGGGCACTCGTGAATGCAGTATTACCTCTGTGAGACCATCTCCTTCACCTCCCATCTTCCTTTCCATTTAACATGGCACCAAACCTGGGTTATTCCAGAAACTGTGTGCACACATAGGTTTGCTAAATGAGTGATTCACTTCCTAACTTTTCCTGGCTGCTTGTACGTCTGAGTCAGAGGGAGTATTTGTGCCTGGTTTTGCTTTTTGTACATTTGTGTGTCTGGGTTGGGGGTGGGGTTTGTTCAGAAACCTTCTTTAAAAATAAACAAATAGGTACGGGAAGAGTTTTGACTTAAGAACAGAGGGAGAAGACCTAAAGTTTAAATTTTTTTTTTTTTTTTTTTAACTTACGCCAGACTGGTTAAAGAAGCTAAGGTTTATGTGTTTTCTCAGCTCCCTAATCTGAAAACCTGACAAGTGGTATTGAGAACAATCTTGCTCCTCACTTTTTAACAATTATTGACTAGACCAAAATAACATTTGCTGTTTCCTAATATATAAAGTACAATATGTTGGATAATAAATATTTGAAGCTATATATATACATCTATATAATTGTATCTACATTTGTTTCACTTTTGCTATAAAGTGGCTGTAAAAGTTTTATAGAAACCCTGGTGATTTGATTGCCTGCTTTTTCTACATGCAGATTGGGAAACTCGATAATCCAGTTTTGATCCTATGCTCATTAGTGATGCTTTATTTTGTAAATCTTGTAATTCTCTTGGAGCAGTCTTTCTTATATTAAAGGACTATGGTGAGTTAATTTAAACAGCATACTATATTCTCAGTCAGATATTATGGTGCTTTAATTATAGGAACCCTAATGAGATTAGTGGCCATGAGTAAATTGGAAGGGATTGTTGGGGGTGGGGCTGCATCCAACAGTGTTTTGTGCATGGCTGGTTTTGGTGGGACTAAAATCCTGCTGTCCTCTCCTGAGCATGAAACGTGGAGATTCTTTCCTCTGCCCAGGACCTGTTACCAGTCTTCCTCTCTCTGTGACCTGAGATCCTGTTTTTGACCCCCTTCTTTTCT